CGCCCGCGAAAATGAAAGAAAACGCCCGAGAAGTCATTAATATCTTCAAAAGCTGCAAAGCACAGTTTCAAACTCGCTTATCCAATGGAGGCAAGAACGATAAATATCAAAAAGTTGTCATTCTGCTGAGCCGCTGCCTTTATGGTTCTAAAGAAGGCGACGACGCCGTCAGCCCAATAATTAAAATATTTACTATCTTGGCCAAGGCTCCAAGGAATTTGGTACTTGCTTTCTAAAACAGGAAAAAGCTGCGGACTTAAAAATGGTGATAAGATTCAATTTTATCACTACACCTTGGCCCTTTTAGAAAATCGGCCCAACGTTCGAACAAATTCGAACGATCGGGCAGGGGAGATTAGGTCGCCGGACTTGGAGTTCCGCGGACATGTGCAACAAATGCGCACTCTTCTTCATCAGTGCTTGTTTTAGCTGTCCCGCGGGTGGAGCCTATCGACGAATTATTGTCCTCTCGATCCGCCGACTCCCTCGCGGGAGATAACTCTAATTCCGCGGTGATCGCAAACATTCGTGCCGTAGAAAATTATTTCAGTTCCGCGCTGATACCGGATTTGAAATAGTACACTCAAGCTTTTAACTAACTTCAAGGTCTTACTAACACTAAACACTAAATCCAAATCCGCTTGAGGGTTTTGGACAATGCTGCTAGATTTAATACTAAATTCCTTTTGAAAGAGTGGAAATTACAGCTATTATAGCTTCCAAACTCCACTTAGATTACACTAAAACAAAAAGTAACACAGGTTTATTTATCTCTCATATAAGTCTGTGTCAAAACGACAGATACAACATGGGAAATTTTAGAGTAGTCGTTGGAAGAGGACACGGAAGATATTGGGCAAAGATGATCATTCAACAGAAAGTGATAGTAATAAGTGAGTTCGAATGTCAGGAAATTAATGTTAATCATTCATTGAAGTGTAGAGGTACTACCGTGAAATATATAGATACAATAAGGTGAGATAATCGAAATCTCAAAACATACTGTGTAACTCCGAAATCTCAACTCCTGTAAACAAGTTTTCGACTTCTTGGGAGGGTCGGCTATGGCACACTAGCTTTCACACAGCAAGTCCGCATCTCTTCAAAAATGAGCCATCAAACGTTTTACCAAAAAGAGAAGGAGATTGGCAAAATAATGCGGAAAAGAACGGAAAGCAGAACGAAAAAAGTCAACTGAACGTAAAAAAACGACAAAGCAGTTTCCAGTCAACGCAGGCTGCAGTACCAGCTCAAGGGTGTCACCATTTCTGCTGCGTACGTCCGAACGGGCTCTGCATCAGCTCCGAGTCCGTGAAAAGTTCTGAAATTTGACACGCGCGCAATGCGGAGTTCCGACACGCGGAATACAACATTCATTTCCGAGGCAAGCCCCGGTCTCTGACTTTTGTGCCGTCACCTCGAGGACGGCGTTGGCCCCGCCTTTTTCGGCCGCTCCAGCAGTTGAGAGTTTTCCGCGGAAAGCCCGAGAGATTGTGTGAACTGCTGTTTCTCAAGCGTATCAAGCTGATAGCTGCTATCTAAAACAGGTTTGACTTGAGAATACTGATAAGCATTTAGTTTTGCCTTGTTCCTCATTGCTCCTGTCGTCGTCATGACGCACCCATGTTTTACCACGCCTGGAAGTTCAGTTTCAATAGCTTGGTGCGCTGTCATTCCTGATTTTGTAGTCGACTTATCGAAGACGTAATTTTTTATTATCCTAGCTCACTAATACACTAAGGACGCTAGATAGAACACCATTTGTTCCATGGATCACCTTATTTAAAGAAAAAATCAAAAGTGATCATGGTGTTTTGATTTATTGCCAGAAAAGTCATATGAATGTATGAAGTGCTTAACATACTATCTGGCATACACCATTTGATATACTTGATACACTTCATCCATTTAGTGTAAAAACACCTGCAGTGTTTTGTCATTTGACTCTCATAGTTTCGTCGCATTTTGATTACTTTTCTTCTCATCGATCGATATCTATTTTATCGATTTTTTTTCAAAATGAGCTACGGGGCTAAAAGTTTGCAGAGGGGGGTAAGTGAGCATGATGTGCTTACGACAACTTGGCAAGCATACTCAAAATTGCCTTTTTTTTGATTTTTTCTCTGCATCTGATTGTTCTTTTTCTCTCCTATTTTTTTTTCAAAAAATATCTCCGCAGTGTCTCTTCTAAGGCGGCACTTTGGTATCGCTAGCATGTCAAAAACGTTGGGCAAAAGCGCATTAGAAAAACCAAGAATGTGTTGGAAATTTTTTTGTGTGCGTTGTGTAAAATTCGACAATCAGAAGTAGTTTTTGTAAATTTTCAAGAATTGTCCATCATGTTGAAACGCGAATGTGCCCTGACCTGGCACACCATGTAGCTCGTGTGGAAATGTAAAGACATTAATTTTGCCATCCCCCTATATCCGCTTAAAACTATGGATGCCCTGCCCAATTACCACATCGCCCGGTCTTACCCTGATCACCTGGAAGAATGCGAGCCCGCGTCAAAGCCTATTGTCCATAAGAAGTAAAGGAAGGCGAAAGAAATGGGCTATGACGAAATCACAAGTGAAGGTATCCATGCAGAGTGACAGTGCCGTTGACTGCGGGAAAGAAGCGTTTGCTATTTCGCAGTCACAAGCGCATGCCCTGTCAAAGTCCCGCTTGCGGGCAGGTCAAAGTGTGCGGAAAAGCTACGATTTACATTTATTTGCAGCAGCTTTATGGAAAATGCTGCAGAAGTTTCCGTTCTCAATCGCTTTGAGTCAATTTTCTGCGCAAGCCCACATTTTGAAGCGTACTTCTCTATAGTTTAGTGCGCACCCCTTTACCCCTGCAAATTCTGCTTGCCCTGCGGAAGCTCCGGTGAATTGTCTGAGTTTGAAGCGGCAAGTGCAATTCTAATGTCAAATGTATGTTGGCGAAGCACATGCAATCCAGTTCAATTAATTGCCATTTACACTAGAATACTTCAATTTCGTCAAAGATAGGTCAGTATGATTAACAAAAAAACTTTCCTTTGTTCAATACCAACGCTTAAGCGAATGAACTATCCGCTAAAGTAGTACGCCTCGGGATAAATTTGTACTGTTCTGTAGAAGAAACGTGAAACTATTCAAGCATGAAAGCAGTCTAAACCTTATAATCTTTTTCAATTATAGTTCATTGATTCGATGCTTGAAAAACCGCTCAAACCGTCTCGCTGATCACGAATCAAGCCTTACGAAATATCGATAAGAAGAAACTGAAAGATACATAGTAATCGGTAACTTTTGTGATGCAATCCATTGGAATTTTGCGCAACCCCACGCACTCAATATACAAGGTGCCCCAAAAGATGTGCGTGCTGGTTGGTCGTCAAATCGCTTGCTTCGCCATCTTTCGCCGATGTTCGAGTACCATTCTGTAGAGCTTGGGGGGGGGATGTTATTTGGGTGTGCTCAGGGCGGCACGAGCTTGTCAAATGACAAGCTGGAAATCGTTTTCGGCAAAAAAAAGCAAAGGGGAAATCGTTTCTGCGAGGTCCGGGGCGGAGCCCCGAAAAAAAAATTGGTAGTGCACGTTCTCTGCTTATTTTAACATGTTATGTGCCTCAACATGCGAAGACTGGATTCGTGCGCGTCAAACCGCGCCGTCGCTAATTGCCGCACGCGCGACGTCGCTCAAACGAGCTATTTGTAACGGCATACATGACTAGTTCTCAATGTACGCGTCACGGTATGACACCAGATTTTGTAGGCGAACGGAGAGAGGCTAGTGGAAACAAAGTATGAAAAATTATGAAAAACTTATGTGAACGGGACGAGTAATAAGCATTTTTTCCAAAGATTTTGCAAAATTGGTAAATGAAGATGTGAATTCAAACGGCTCGTTTGGAATGCGCAGATGAACGATATGGTATGAAACTTGGTACGCACGTGGACACAAGCCTGTAGGAGCTAACTTAGGAGTTTCATTGAAAAATTATGTAACTGAAGGTTGTGGCAAAGTTTTTTCTGAAAATTTTCCGCTACCAAAGAGATGGAAAAATGGCTCGTTTGCAACGCGCAGATGACGATATGGTATGAAACTTGGTGCGCACGTGGACACAAGCCTGTAGGAGCTAACTTAGGAGTTTCATTGAAAAATTATGTGACTGAAGGTTGTGGCAAAGTTTTTTCTGAAAATTTCCCGCTACCAAAGAAATGGAAAAATGGCTCGTTTGCAACGCAGAGGCGACGAAATCGCGCGGGATTCGGTGTGTATATGCGCAGTAGGACTAAGTAACAAAGTATGAAAAATTATGAAAAACTTATGTGAATGAAGAGTTTCCCCAACTTATTTCCAAATTAGCTTGTCATTTGACAAGCTAATGACGAGCTGAGCTTGGCAAAACTCTCAATTCACATAATTTTTTCAAAATTCTTACATAAATCTACTCTACGCCTAAACATTAGTATATATTGAAATTTTGGTTTCAAACCTCCTCCTCTCCCCATTGCTAGAGGCAAAAATAGCCTCAGCAGTCCCGTTTCCTGAGGAGGAAAGCGCGCCCGAATTGAACGGCGTGTCGCTGAGTCCTTTAATCAGCGTTTGGTGTGTCGGTGTGTCGCCCACTTCTCTGCGTTTTCGTTTGTCTTTCTATTTTCTTTCTGTTTTTTTGTTTTGCCAAAGCTGGGTCGGCGGAGGTAGAATTTGATGGATCCATTTGTTAATAAGTGAAAATATAGTGCTGTTATTGCAAAACTCTGTTATTTTCGATTGCTTCCTCCACCAGTATTTTAGAGAGCTTCCTGCACCTCACATTACGATATCTCGTAGTCAGTGAGCTAAAGATTTGCTGATGACTCTTGATCTTGCTAGGAGGCATCTTTATATGTACTGCTATGGAGGTTTGCCATCAAACTCCCAATTTTCTTGCATATACCTGCTAATTTTCTGGAATTAAGAGAACTCATTACAAAACATTCGTTTTAGGTCGCGGTACAATCGCGAACCAATGAAAAGTTCGATCTGGAATGTACTTTACCCTCGAGCAGCATAGATGGTTCAACCTCCGAATTGATGAACTTGGTGAGGTATCGGCGCAAGTTAAGAGGAGGAGCATCAGCAGGTGAGTACAAGAATACAATCACTTCTTTTGCTAGAAATTTATCTTATCTATCTTTTCTGCACTCTTTCTAACGGTACAGTAGTTGTTTGCAGTTTTCCACCCGTGCCCAAAGCTATATCAATTGATTTTATACGATTGATTTAACTTCGCCATCACACGTATACGTTGTATACGTGTGATGGCGAAGTTTTACCAATGAAATCTTGGTAAGTGCTTGACGTAAAGTAGTTTTATTATCATATTATGTTAGTTCTTTTATGATATCTACAAAGACAAGAAGAGAATTTGCCTACAGTTAAATATTATTCGTTGAACTTACTTAAAGGCAAATCACTTTGTGTTCGGATAGAAGTTTATTGTATATTGATAGTTCAAACTTGTGGGTCGATGGTACATAATGATGTTGCGTGACTGCGGTCACGATTGGCTTATGTCGGAGTGGAATAAGCCAATTGCGACCGCAGTCACGCAACACCATAATGTAGCCATAAATTCGGTAGCATATTCTTCACAAAAGATTAACTAATAAAGCATTTGCTTTAAAATATCAATTTGATCTATGATTTGGGCACATACTCCATTTTTTTGCGATGTCAGAATTCACGTCTTTAAGAATACTTCGATATCCAAGCTTTGTGTATTTTTGTTTTTAGGCTCATCATTTGTTTGTCAAATCCAAATTTCAGTCATCTTGTTTAAGGAAGTCTTCTGCTGATGAAGGAGAGAAGTTGATGGCATGGGCGAATGACATCAAGTCACAGTCATATCTACAAATGAGGCGTTATGCTACGAAGCGCAATGGTAGCAGCAAGAATGACACCGTTGCATAGGTGAGCTCGCTGTGTTCTTGAAATATGCGTTTTCGACAGATATATCTTGAAGATGTGCTGATGAATGCCGTACGGTTTCCGCTTAACGTTTTTTCAAATGATATTCAACGCAATACTCTGTAAAAAAGTGAATTTCTCAGGGAAGTATTTTTGTGCTGTGTGTTATAGGCATGGATATGACTCTGACGGCAATCTGTGTGGCATCTCATATCTTTTTTGATTTGCAAATTACTTCCTTACTATTTGCATTTTCGTCACTTTCCGTATGAAGCTTTCGTCCATTTTCGTCACTGAACCAAGTTCAGTGGTGTACGTTAAGCTTGGCTTTGCTAGTGCATCATCATTTTGAGATAAACGTAAAGCAGAGATTGTTATTTTTCCGCTTGGCTTTAGGAGAAGGGCACCGCTGCCTCGCGAGTTTCAGCCTGCGATCGTATTATTTTTCTTCGCTTGCTATATATCAGAGTTGTTTCAAGTACTACGCGAAAAAGCAAAGCTGTGATGCGTTCGTTATCTTCTAAAGCTAGGAGAAGGCGCATCTGAGCTGGATCTCGGATCAGAAACAAAACGAATTCGGCCGATTTCCCACATTTGTTGGAGTTTTCACACTTGAAGTTGCTTATCGTACACAAACGGATAAGGAAGGGGTGTTGTCACCGCCTGAAGGACTGATTCTCCTAATCAGGTATTTTTCCGTAATCTTTTATCGATTTGCAAACGTTTGCATGTATGTTTTAAATATGTCGAATTTTGCTATCATTACTTTGAATACTTGGTTCTTCTCTATCATTTTTTCTTGCTATGGAATGAGACTTGGCAGGAGAAACCATTATCCGTCGGAATCCGGCGCTGACCTTAGCTAGGTATATAGCTAACGCGACCATAAAAGGCGACCCGGCTGCCTCTTACTTTTTCATTGATCTTACTTATCAGATGATGAAGTGGTCCTGCATTTGATATGATATTTTCTTCATCCTCTGGGTCGTATTATAACTGATCATTTCGCTATCCGTATTCAAGTGATGAATGGGAACCTGAGTTGCTAACAACTGATGTTGATGGATGACGTTCAGAATCATTTACAAATTCTTTTTGTTGTTAGGGATTTCAAAACAAGACTGTCATTGTTAAGGATGACTTCATCTCCCTGAACAGTGTACACGTTTTGGGAAGCAGAGGCTCTTCTAACTTCATCAAATAAAACCCTTTTCTATTCTGGCGAAAAGTTATTGGGATAATGATAAATTCCATAAGATACTAGAGAAACATCAGTTCCTCAGTATTTGCACTTTATGGCATATTGAGAGAGTATCCAAGATGAAGAGAATCTTCAGTACCGTGGCAAGATCAGAGGGTAAAAAAGACAAATGATAGTTTCAGGATGACCTAATGGTTTGGTAAGTAAGATTCATATCCAAAGAAAAGATAAGAGGCAGCTGGGTCGCCTTTTATGGTCGCGTTAGCTTTATACTGTAGCTAAGGTCAGCGCCGAATTCCGACGGATAATGGTTTCTCTTGGCAGGGGGAGGGGGGGGGGGGGGGAGGAGCCTGGTTCGTACACTTAATCCTTTTTGAATCATCTAGTTCAATTGTTCCCAACTTTCTAATGTGATCTTTTGTTTATTTTTATGAATGAACTGTTTTTGTTTTTTCGTCAATAAAACTTGTTTTTTGGTCAAAGTGTTCACTGCAGAATCACTGGGATCAATTTTTGGGTCAAAGGGAAATTCGTAAAAAATTTTTGGGTCAAAGGGGAATTCGTTTTCGAAAACCCCTTTTGACAAGCTCGTGCCGGGCCCTGGGTGTGCTTCATAAAAGGAGTACAGGATTTTGGATCGCCATTAGGCTCCACCCACGCGAACGGATAATATGAGGCAGTAATGATGAAGGCGCACAATTCGTTGCAAAATTTCACTTGGGTGCCCCTTTCGGCGACCTAATTCCTCCTACACCCTAAAAGTTTTGCGGGCGCATAATCTTTAGTAAAAATCTTTAATCATAATCTTTAATAAAAATTTAGAAGAAAAGGGAGTAACCATTTCTCTACAATTCTAATTCTGATATTAAAATTCCAAACATTTTGGAGGGAAAAATTGGAGGGAAAAATGCACTCATTGGAAAGAGGAGGAAAAGCTGCATTGAATAACAATTTAGTTGTGCGCCGTTTCATGATCTCTGGCTTTTGGCATCACCAAAAGTGAAATTGATAGCATCAGAAAAATAATTCTAAAATATTTTCAAGGCTAGCTATAGATGCCGCAGAATTGCATTACATTGCCCTTTGTTTGCTCTGTCTAACTGCTACCAAAGCTTTTCCGAAAGTCAAAAATGAAGACTGTGAAATATTGCCAAACTTGGACATAGTAAAAACCAAGGGTTCGAAATTTCGGCGTTTACCCAGTAAGCCAAAGAGTAATGGCATGTGAGCACGACATTTAAAAAGAGGAGGAAAAGATGCGTCGGACTGTGCTTAAGGCGTTTCCCTATCTTCGTTCCACGTGTTTTTATGATAGGTTGAAAAAAAGGACAAAACTTTCGGGACAACCTAATACAGTGCTGGACATAATTATAAAGGCCCGTAGTAAAGCTCGGTTACGGGAGATGATCTCCCCTGAGGCCCTCATATGAGGCTTTGTCGGGTGAGATGAGGACTGCCCACTTTCCGTGGTGTAAATATGCAAGGCAGGGCTCGGCACGGGCTGACACCAGGTAAATTTCAAAACGAAGTCCCGTTTGATCTTGAAAATTTCGTACGAAGTGCCCTTTGACCTGTTTTGGATACCCGTCATTTTTCGATTATGTAAAAGTTTGTAGTAGGATTTTTATGCATGCTGATTTCATGAAACAACTTTTCACAATTTTCTGAGCTTTCTAGTTGAATCACATCTTGAGAAGCAGAAAAAGGCGATTTTTCGACTGCGGAGCAGACCGAGTAATTTTCAGATGGCTATAAAACGCTGAAAAGAAAACATTACAAAATTGTTTCTTTTCTCTATGTAAACTTTTACAGCGTAGATACATTTTATGTAAAAAAGTATGAAAACTTATGTGAACAAAGTGTGGTGCCAGCTCAGCTGCCACGCAGCTGGCAGGTGCCAGCTAATTCAGAAAAAAGTTCAGCACAGCTTTCATTCGCATAAGTTTTCATAAATTTTTGGGCCATAGTTCGGGTCCCCCAGCGCGCATGCACACACCAAATTTGGTGTCATAATATTGCGTTTTGGCTGGAAACAACGCCTTTGTTTGTTTGATTGACAGAATGCCGGTGGCATGCCGGTGGCATGCCGGCGGCATTCTTGGGGCTCTTCTCCGCCTGGACCTGGGGAAAACGATATCCCTTTTGTTTTCCGCCCTAAAAACGGTACCCAGCTTGACCCGGTGCCAGCTGTGCCGAGCCCTGATGCAAGGTCACCCTACAGGTGAGCTTCAGATGAAGCCCGGCAGGGAGATCAGCTCCCCACCGGAGTCATCGGAGATGAGCCGGGCGACGACATAAGGTAAATACTGTGCTAAAGAGAAGAGCACAAAGAGAATCCCCGTAAGTTGCTCCCGAATAACTTACGAAACATCGCAGATGACGTTCTTTTGCGGTGCAAAACTCCCAAAATTGCACAATTTCGGGCGCCTAAGTGAGTGAGGATCGATGAACAGCTGATTGCGCGACGAAATCGGAAAATAGTTTTTTTTGCATTTTTCTGCAGTTGTTGCTTGTTTTTTTCAAAGAAATAACAAGAATGTGAATTTACGTTTCTATTTATTTTTGCTAAGTGTATTTTTCCTCGTATGTATGCCAAAATAATGTGTATTTGTTTTATCTTGTTGTTTGCTAGGTGAAATCTCTGATAGCGGCTATCATCGATTTTTCGATAGCGGCCGCTATCAAAGGTCGCCGGGCCAAGCAGCAAAAATGGTTCCGCTAGCCGAACTCGAACCACGGCCCCGCCGCTTGCACATTAGTCTTATCCATTTGACTAATAATGCACAAATGGCAGAAACGTTCCACCTTTGAAAACGCGAATGTCCCGTAAGTGGCCTGCTCCAAATCAATCGCTCCCCTGGCAATGTGCTGAGGCGCGATAAGATCAGCTCCGGTCCGCCTTAAGAGAGACGCCCTGATGGGGGTTTACTACGGGCCAAAGCCATTCTAGAAATCGTCGTAATTCTCGTTCTGATGAATCTGTTTCAAAATTTGCTGTATTGTGCGCATGTCATCCTGCCATGACCCCTCAAAACGGCTTCTAGTCTTGTTGAGTTTGAACGGAGAAAAACGAAAAAATTCGAAAAAGCCCTCTTTGAAAGCTTGACAAAATTATAAAGCCACCTGGTTTCCAATCACTATCGCATTCGTTGACTCTCAAATTTTTTTGTGCAGTTACATCCCAAAATATGAAACATTTGCAACAACGGCCTGTCATCCTACTCAAATTGAAGCGATCACTGCATTTTTTGCTCTCAAAAGCACCAAAAGTCAATCGGCTTCAACAAACAACTGGTTCGAAGAGTTTTCAAGCTCTCGTTCATTTCAAATGATAATCATGAAATCTACTGACCCTTCTGGATAGATGAGGTGAAGAGCGCTTTCGTAAACTCCGCGTAATCGCTGATTTTGACGGACAGACTCCAACCTCACCATAGGGTTGACGCACTTTTGCATCACAAAACTCGATTTTCAAACGACAGAAAATACTGTAATGTAGCCATTACGACAGTCATACAACAGTGAACTCGTGTGCATGACTGGAAAAAAATTTCGGGATTGAGCACTCTGATTCAGCCGCAGTTGACATCCACAGATTGTTGAGTGGAGCACCTACAATTAAAGCCAACTCAGATCACGATAAAACCGGAGATGCTTGAAACTTCAAAATCTTAGTTACTCTTATTCATCGGGTTAAATATGACATAAAACACAAAGAGAAATAAGGAGATCTAGGGTTATATCGAATCTTCTGCTTGCAGGGAATTTTCGTGGAAAATATTTCAGGTTTAAATCGCTACCG